TTGAGACCTACGCCGGGTCAGAGGCCGCAGCGGCACGACTCGGTCCAGTGCTGCGGTTGCGGCCACATCCCAGGCCGCAGCCTGATGTTCCGCCGAGTCGTGACCCAGCTCCTCAGGATATGTCCCAAGCTCCGTCAGAAACCCCTCCGGGTCCATCAGGCGCCTGGGACGGAACCATCTAGGCGGTTCCGTCTCCCTGCGGCGAGGGGCAGCGGTCCGGAAGTCCATCCTAAGGAGTGCGTGATCTGACCATGACAAAGGCTCTATAATTATCACCCCCCATTTCCAGATCATTTAGCCTCCAGTCCCCTAATCATCTTTGTTGCTCTTCTCTGAACTCTTTCTAGAGTCTCAACATCTTTTTTACATCGTGGTGACCAAAACTGGATGCAGTATTCCAAGTGTGGCCTTACCAAGGCCTTGTAAAGTGGTATTAACACTTCATGTGATCTTGATTCTATCCCTCTGTTAATGCAGCCTAGCACTGTGTTGGCTTTTTTGGCAGCTGCAGCACACGGCTGGCACATATTTAAATGATTGTCCACTAGGACTCCAAGATCCCTCTCACAGTTACTACTATTGAGCAAGGTGCCCCCTATACTATACCTGTACATTTGGTTTTTCTTGCCTAAATGTAGAACCTTACTTTTTCACCATTGAATTTCATTTTTTTAGATAGCGCCCAGTGTTCAAGTCTGTCCAGATCCTCCTGTATCTTAAGCCTGTCTTCTGGAGTGTTGGCTATTCCTGCCAGCTTGGTGTCGTCTTCAAATTTTATGAGTTCCCCATCTATCCCCTCGTTTTACAACAGTTCATTTAGTGACTGTTCAAAGTTACCACGGCACTGAAAAAAGTGATTTATGACCGCTTTCCACAGTTATGACCTTTCCAGGACCCCCATGATCGGGTGATCAAAATTCAGATGCTTGGCAACTGATTCATACTTATGACCATTGCCGTGTCTCAAGGCCATGTGATTCTCTTTTGACAAGCAAAGCCAATGGGGAAGCCAGATTCACTTAACATCTGGGGGTCAACATCCAGCTCGAGAATCCAAATAAAACTCCAGGTTCGTTCCATCTTTGAAAATCTTACTGGTTATTGAATACACTGCCTGGGCATGTCGAAGCAAAACTAACTCTGAGCCTCCAACTCCAATTCATAGAGTTAAACAATAATTTTCCTAGCCAAATCCCCAATGTCTTACATAGCCCATATAAACAAGTTCACTTTGTTATAGGAACCGTCTGCTTCAACTCCACACCTGGTCTGGTGTCCTTGAAAAATATCAGGCTCTTATGGTCTTCAGCTGAATCGTAGAAGTTTCGTTTCCCCATCTAACCCACTTGAAAGAAACAACTCCCCCCCCCTTAATTTAAGGCAAGTTGAAAACCAGAGGCACGTAGCTGACAAAGTTTCGTCATTGACACCGGGTTATTAACTTATCAATTGCAGTGGTTCACTTAACAACTGTGGCAAGAAAGGTCATAAAATGGGGGCAAAACTCACTTAACCACAGAAATGTTGGGCTTAATTGTGGTCATACATCGAGGACTACCTGTGTAAAACTTACAAAGAATCAGATCCTCCTCCCAGAAATTCAGTAGGTCTGTAGTAAGACACCTGCTTTCAAGTTCAAATTCACCTCATCGATCCCAATTTACTGGCTTCAGGAGTGTCTGTGAGGAGGGGGTCTGTGTCCAAAAAGTTAAGATGGCGGCCACAATCATGTCATCCAAGCCTTGATGCTTTTTTACATGTGAGGCATATAAATAAAGGGGTGTGGCCTTGATATTATTATTATTATTATTATTTATTGAATTTATATACCGCCCTATCTCCCTTACGGGACTCAGGGCGGTGAACAGGCGATAATAAAAACCACGATAAATATACCCAAGTTTCTGTTCTAAAATCAAATTAAATAACAGGCCTGCTCTAAAATACCCCATACAAAACCCCCACTAAAACATAATCAAACTATGCCAGGCCGGCCGCATGGAATAAATGGGCCTTTAGGGCTCGGCAAAAAAGGCGCAGGTCCGCAACTGTACGTAGGTCGGGGGGTAGGTCATTCCAGAGGGCAGGAGCTGCCACAGAGAAGGCTCTCCCCCTGGGGGTCGCCAGCCGGCATTGACTGGCCGACGGCACCCTAAGGAGGCCCTCTCTGTGGGAGCGGACTGGTCGAAGGGAGGTATTTGGTAGGAGGCGGTCTTGCAAATACCTAGGTC